GGCAAACTGGTCCTATATTTTGGGTGCATGAACATTCATCCCCAAGAAAGGCAGTTAAATCTTATCCCCAGGCAATCCTTTCTATTATTCAAAAGGCATACAAAATGAGCCTTCAAGTTTTTGGCAAGATGCTGGATGTAATTGTTAGTCCCTATACTCAACAACAGATAAAATGGCTTCAACAGTTTGATGAGGATTGGGCACATTGCTTGTGTTCCTCACCCTGCCACTTTGATAGTTATTTTCCTTCCAGTAAGTTAGCTCATTAAAAAAAAAAATCACCCTGTGTGTTTCCTCAAGGTTATTTCCCGAAATCCTCTGAAGGGGGCCCACAATGTATTTACAGATGGCTTTTCAAAAGGCTTCCCAATAGCTTTTTCTTTTCCCATTATCAAACGCTCTATACTTAAATTGAAGTCTGCACAATTTGCGGAACTATCTGCAGTACAATTAGCCCTTCAACATTTTTCTAATGAGCCATTTAACTTATACAAAGACAGTAAATATGTGTATCCTATATTGGCTCCCTTAGAAACTGCTGCTTATATAGCTCCAGTCTCTCATGTACAAGAACACTTACTAGACATACAAAGCCTACTATGGAGGCACTCTCCTCCAATTTTTGTAGGACATCTCCAAGCAAATTCTTATTTGCCCAGCCCTTTATGTGAAGGAAATGCCATTCCTGATTTTAATACTAAACCAGATAATGCCATCATGATGATGAAACTCTCTCATCATCACCAATTAATGCAGGGTCACTCAAATTCCATTTTAAAATTGCTAGATACCAAGCTATTGATATAGTTAAGAATTGTCCCCTATGTGCAGAGTTCTTACCTTTTCCACACCTTGGAGTTAACCCCCATGATGTCACACCTAATGATATCTGGCAGATGGATGTTACCCATGTTCCTTCCTTTTGTCGACTACGATTTGTTCATGTATCTGTGGATACACATTCTTATCTCATATTTGCCTCTGCTCATACTGGAGAAAGGCTTAAGGAAGTTAAAAGCCATTGTTTATAAGCCTTTGCTTATATGGGAATGCCCAGACAATTAAAAACTGATAATGGCCTTGCTTATACTAGTCAGAGTTTTAACTCTTTTTGCAAAAAAATTTTTTTTTATCCCACATAAGATGAGTATCCCTTAATATCCTCAGGGTCAGGACATGGTGGAACGTGCTCATCGCACAATTAAAGCCTACTTCATAAAACAAAAAAGGTGGAATTTACAGGGTCTTCTCATAGTCACCTTTCTCTTGTCCTTTATATTTAAAAATTTTTAACTATTGATGGTGCTGCTCGATCTGCAGCCGACAGTCATTGGCGCCCTCAGTCATCTGACTATGGTTCAGTTATGTGGAAAACTGTCCCTACTGGAAAACTGTGCGGCCCCAACCCAGTTCTAGTATGGGCCTGAGGGTCAGTTTGTGTCTTTCCACAAGATGCAGCTAACCCTGTTTGGGTGCCTGAGTGGCTGATTCGCCATATGCGGAGGGACAGTGATTGTAACAGCCAGATCGAAGGTCCAATGGGTCTTCAAGAATCTACCCATCCTGATGCCTGTGGGTCTGAGTAGCCATATGTGGCATTTTTTTCTGACTATTAATTATAATTTGGATCCAGTGGCTATAAATTTACACTTTGATCCAAAGGACAAGAAATTCACCTTTATCTCAGGCATTGTATTCTGGTTCCGTTCTTTTTTTGTAACTAATGCTACTAATTTTGGAGAAAGTTTCATTTTTCTCAGCAGGTCTGCCAACTATAAAAGCTGTCGTGGGCCACGTACCCAGGTGTGGAGCAGAGAGGAAAGGAGATTTTATGATCATGACTGCCAGTGCTGCCTTCACCACTGAAGCAACAGTTTCTACCATAGCCCTCTCCCAATCTGTAAATACTGCAACTATCAGGTGATTTGGCTTAAGCCTTAGCCACCCAAATCACACTTATTATCTAGTACAAATTGGCATTTTTAAACTAAATTTACAAACTAACGTCTTGTAGGAATACTTGAATTTTTGTGAGGAGCTCCTAATGGCTTCTTGTTCTCTGTCTTTTACACATATCTCTGTTAATGCATCATTTTTCTCCAGAAATCCTGGAGTGATCAGTTTTTAAGTTATACACATGCTTTACCCATGCAGATCATTAACATCTATGAAACCTGAGTGCCACTTGCCAATGCAGAAGGCCTTTTACAAGGACTTCAACATGTGAGCAGATCATTGGGGTTTGTAGCCCTTGCACTTGGTGCTACTTTGCCACAGCATTAGAGAGGCCCAGGCCAACTTTCAAACAACACAGATACTGTCTTTGGCTCAAGAGAAAATGCCTCTGCCCACTTGTGTCTGACAAACTATTCACCAGTGATGGGTAAGGCAGAGGGGGCAAATATCCAACCAAAGACAGGTAGGTTATGTGCCTGGGTGACCTCTCCAATTATGGGATGAAAGACCCTCAAGGAGTGTCTTCCCTCAGGAGAGACCCCGTGCCCAAGGATCAGTCGAGACCACTCGTTCGGATGCAATCAGCAAGAGGCTTTATTCAGATACACAGGTATCTGGGGCGACAAGATCTCCTTGAAGACTTGCGCGCCGACAGGCTGGGGAAAGGGATTTTTATAGAGACAGGGGAGCAAAAGCACAGGTACAGAAGTGAGATGCATGGTTACAGGGATGCCATTGGTCAATTCAAATGAGGCCAGGGTTATTCTGAGGACAAGTTCCCTTAGTACATAGTAACCAGGTGAATAGCAACCAGATGAATAGCAACCAGATGAATAGCAACCAGATAAATAGCAACCAGATGAATGGCTCTATCTAGGGTACACAGGGTGTTTTTCAGGTACTTTCCGTTCCTGGCTGGCACAGATATCCTTTTTGGCAGCCCTAGCTTGCTGACCGTGTCCTGAACCCGGGGCTACGTGCACAAAGGTTCCTGCATAATGGTGCTGCAGCAGCTAAGCTAAGCTAATACAATATGATTGGCGGGGGTCTTTCATTCCCCCATTACTCTTCTGGCTTTGAATGGAATCTTCCATTCATGTGGTCTATGTTAGTTCTATGAAGTCAGGGTCGGATTGGTCTATTTGTTTTATTCGCTGATACTGTTGGGTGAGAACCAGAGCCTGGATGACAGAGTCTATCCTTCATGAATTGGACCAAGCGGTTGAGGATGCAAGGTCCAAACAGGAGGATTAGGAGTAGGATGATCAAGGGACCCATCAAAGAGGACAATAGGGTGGTGAACCAGGGGGACCTATTGACCCATCCTTCAAACCATCCTTGCTGAGATTCGAATAGCTTTTGTCTTTGTTTTAATCTTTCCCTAAGTTTTCCAATGTTGTCTCTTACTAACCCGGTGTGATCTGCATACAAACAGCATTCCTCCTTGAGTGCCCCGCATAATCCTCCCTCTCGTAAAAATATCATATCTAATCCTCTCCTGTTTTGTAGGACCACCTCTGAGAGGGAGGTTAACCAATTCTTCCAGTGCCTTGATGTTAGTGTGCATGGCAGCCTGCAGTTGTTTAAATTGGCCGGTTTCTATAAGAGCGGCAGTGCCTGTACCCACTCCTGCTGCTATTCCCCCCATGGTGACACCTCCCAGTAACAAGGCCAGAGTTAGAGATACTGGTTCTCTCTTAAATCGGGGTCTCCCTTCAAAATGACTGTAAATGTATTCTGGATCATGGTATGTTATTTTGGGCCATAATTCAACCAGAATACAATAATCATTGTATTCAGTACTTGAACAGACACACATGGGATCAGGCCGGTGCTACATGCCCAGTAAGTCCCATCGGGGGCTGCTAAGTAATAGGCTCCTGTGGACATATGTTGGGTTGTTTTACATAAGGCCTGGTGGGTTTTGGGAACAGTCCCTATACAGAGTCCCTGCCCAGATGCTTCAGATAGGGTCAGCTTGTGTTGGGGGGGGGTGGAAATGCAGCTGGTGGGTGTGGTGGAGTGGTTGGTGTAATTACCTAGAACGGCCATCCCTTCATAATAGGGAGGTCTTGACATCAGACATAGCCAGCAATCTTGTGTCCTGTTCGGATCTGTGAGGTTGAGAGCCAGATAGTCTCCTTGTATCAAGTTGAGTAGTCTATCCCCAGTCCCAGGTTGGCGGGGAGCCAAGGTAGTGGTAGTAGGGGTATGCACACTAGGGATGCTATTGCTGACTAAGGAGGCTGTTGGGGCAACAGGGGGCAATAAGGGGGGTACAACTGGGGCCAGCTGGGAGGGTGGTTTTTGATCTGCTATGACCATATTGGGTCCGATGGAATGGGTTGCTGTGTTCACTTTAAGTTTAATTTTGAAAGTAACACCTTTATCTGTCCCTGGGAGATACCATCTGAGACCCCAAGTGTACCCCTGTTGCCATCCAGTGGCCTGCCGTCCTGGCCTTGTGAATGCGATCCTGAGAGGTAATGACAGTGGTTTCTTCCAATTGGCATTTCCATCAGTTCCTCTCTGGTAATAACAAGTGTGTCCATCATAGTCAGGTAGAGTATATTTTCGTTTGTCTGTGATCAAATCCCAGGAAGAGGAGGGCCGCCAGTAGGCGTCCCCAGTGGTCTCACAGCCCCATTCATAGCAAAAGTATGCCTCATATCCCCCACATCGGTAGGCTGTGGCTCGATCTCTATTATCTCGGGGGCAAACATAAAAACCCGGTTGGGCTAATTTGCATCTAGCGGTGGGGCTGCTGCATCCATGGGCTGTCATCTGTTGGGGTCTGGCTCCCATGTATGATGATTGTAAGTTATGGGGACCCATAGTTGGGATAACCCAAGTGTCCAGGCCGGCAGCCAGTTGGCAAAAGTCGGGGGTGAATGTAGGCCACCAGGTGTTAAGCGCATGGTTGCCCTGAATTTCCCAAACAACCTCCCAGCTCTGGGACCAAACTTGCCATGTCAAAGAGTACACTTGGTGAGGGCTTCCTTCCTGCATCGCAATTCCTAGTCCCAACAAGGCCCATAAAATGGTTAAGGGGCCCCACGGGTAAGTCTTAGCTTTAGCGGGTTTTGGGTGCGCTGAATTCTCCATGGTGAGGTCGTGGTCAGTTTCTTCTCTCCCGTGGTGTGGTCGGCCTTGACGTGGGAAGTGTGGATTCAGGCTGCGATGCCGTCAACCTTTAGTGCCATCGGGGTAGTCAAGAGGACAGTGTATGGTCCTTTCCACCGGGGTTCCAGGTTCTTAGTCTGGTGTCTGCGTACCCATACAGTGTCTCCTATCTGGTAGGAGTGTGGTACCACCGGCTTATCTAGCTGCTCCCGATAGGCTGCTGCAAGTGGTTTCCAGACTTCTCTCTGGACAGTCTGTAATGCCTGCAAATGAGCTTCCAGAGAATGACTATTAGCAAAATCAGCAATGTTGGAATCCAAGAAATTCATAAATGGGGGCGGGGCCCCATATAATATTTCAAATGGGGTGAGTCCATGTGGGCCCGGCGTGTTTCGGGCCCTGTATAAGGCTAAAGGCAGGAGGAGCACCCAGTCTCTAGAGACAGTTGCAAGCGTTAATTTAGACAAAGTCTCCTTAATTGTTCTATTCATGCACTCTACCTATCCTGAACTTTGGTGTCTGTATGCACAATGTAATTTCCAATCAATGCCCAAAAGCTTAGCCACCAACTGACTTACCTGGGAGACGAAGGTGGGCCCATTGTCAGTACCCAGGATCTGGGGCATCCCATACCTGGGGAAGATTTCTTCCAAGAGTTTCTTGGTCACAGTCTTTGCCATTTCATGTTTTGTGGGGAAAGCTTCTACCCATCCAGAGAAGGTGTCTATGAACACCAGTAGGTATCTGTATCCATATAATCCAGGCTTTACCTCTGTGAAATCGATTTCCCAATGGGTACCGGGATGGTGTCCTCGAACTCGGATCCCTGGTTCGAGCTTAGTCCTGCCTGCATTTACCTGGGCGCAGGCTTTGCATTCATCAGTTACTTTTTGTATGGCCCCGTCTCTATTTAGGAGGTATTGTCACATCTCCTGGCATTCTAGGAGAGTCTTCATCTTTTTGGGGCTCAGATGGGTTAGTTTATGTAAACAGTCTATCAGTTCGTAGGTTTGTCTCATGGGTCTAACGATTGTTCCTTTGAAAATCCAATGTCCCTTTTTGGGGTCATAAGTGGCCCCCATTTTCTTTAGGAGATTTATGTCCTCTTGGCTATATGACAGGGAGCGTCTGAGTCCCTGATTCTCCCCTGGGCACGTCAAAGGAAGGGCTCGGGTGGTGCTGAGGGAGTTTAGAGCAGCCTCCCTTGCAGCTGTGTCTGCTAGTCGGTTCCCTTTTGCCTCCGGGCTATTGCCTCTTTGATGGCCAGGGCAATGCATAATGCTCAATTTCTGAGGCAGAAACAAGGCTTTTAGCAGTGCCAGGATCTCAGCCTTGTTTTTAATTTCTTTTCCTTCTGAAGTTAATAGTCCTTGCCTCTGGTAAATTTCCCCATGTATGTGGGCAGTGGCAAAGGTGTATCGGCTATCTGTATAGACGTTCAGTCTCTTACCTTCTGCCATCTGAAGGGCCTGGGTTAGCACGATGAGCTCAGCTCTCTGGGCTGAGGTGCCTGCAGGAAGGGCTTTTGCCCAGACTACCTCCGTCTCTGTGGTCATGGCTGCTCCCGCCTTCCGCTCCCTGCTCACCAGGATGCTGCTGCCGTCCGTGTACCAGGTGTAGTCTACATCTCGGAGGGGTTAATCCCTCAGGTCTGGTCTGGTCCCGTGCATTTCTGCAAGGATCTGGAGACAGTCATGCAGTTCTGGCTTTCCCAGCAGGGGGAGCAGAGTGGCGGGGTTAAGTGCAACCACTGGACTGAATTGGACTCGGTCCGCATCCAGGAGCATGGCCTGGTAATGAGTCATGCGGGCGTTGGAGAGCCAGCAGTCTGGAGGTTGTCTAATCAAGGCTTCTACTGCATGGGGTGCTAGGATAGTTAAAGGCTGACCCAGAGTTAATTTGCCGGCATCCTTGACAAGGACTGCAATGGCTTCTACCATTCGCAAGCAGGGTGGCCAGCCCGACGCTACTGGATCAAGTTTCTTGGATAAGTAAGCTATTGGACGCTTCCAGGGGCCCAGTTTCTGAGTGTGAGTACTCCTTTAGCATAGCCCTGCCATTTGTCCACAAACAATTTGAAGGGTTTGGTGGTATCAGGGAGGCCCAACGCTGGGGAGGCCAGCAAGGCCTTTGTAATATCCTGGAATGCCTTCTGTTGTTCCTCTCCCCAATTAAACAGAGTCCCTTGTTTGGTGAGAGGGTATAGGGGTGCAGCCATCTCCGCAAACCCTGGAATCCAGAGGCGGCAGAACCCTGCAGTCCCCAGAAACTCCCGCAGCTGGCGGGGATTTTTAGGGGCAGGGATGTCAGTAATAGTCTGTTTACGTGCCTCAGTCAGCCATCTCTGTCCATCCCTTAATTGATAGCCTAGGTAGATGACCTCTTTTTGGCATATTTGGGCCTTCTTTGTGGATGCCTGATATCCTAATTGTCCTAGTGTCTGCAAGAGGGCTTCTGTGCCCTCCCCTGCACTCCTGTTCTGATTCTGCCGCCAGCATCAGACATATTGGAGCAGTAACAGGGCAGGATGCTGCACCCTGAAATCTGCCAGATCTTGATGCAAAGCCTCGTCAAAGAGGGTTGGGCTGTTCTTGAACCCTTGGGGAAGCCTGGTCCAAGTTAATTGGCCTGAGAGCCCAAGATCTGGTTCCTTCCATTCAAAGTCAAACAGAGATTGACTCACAGGATGCAGCTGTAGGCAGAAGAAAGCATCCTTTAAATCAAATACAGTGTACCAAGTGTGGGAAGGTGGCAGTGTGCTCAGTAGAGTATAAGGGTTGGGGACCGTAGGGTATATGTCTTCTACCCTCTTGTTGACCTCTCTTAAATCCTGCACTGGCCGATAATCCCCAGTACCAGGTTTCTTTACCAGCAGTAGGGGAGTATTCCAGGTTGAGCGACAGGGGGTGAGGATGCCCTGGTCCAGCAGCCTCCTTATATGAGGTTTTATTCCCTGATATGCCTCATAAGACATGGGGTATTGCTTAATGGAGACGGGGGCAGCTGTAGCCTTTAGTTGTATTATGAGCGGAGGATGTCGCAGTGCTAATCGCATTCCCCCAGTCTCGGCCCATGCCAGTGGGAATTTATCAAGCCAAGGAGTCATGTCAGGTCCCTGGGGTCTTTGAGTTTCATAAAGTCTATATTCATCTTCCAGATGCAGTGTGAGAATCTGGAGGGGGGCCCCTTTGGGGCCCATTATGTTAGCCCCTCTATCTTCAAAGTGAATTTGAGCCTTTAATTTAGTGAGGAGGTCTCTTCCTAATAGTGGATAAGGGCAATCCGGGACATGCAGAAAAGAATGTGTCACCTTACCAGTAGCCAGCTGTACTTTTCGATCCGTCGTCCATCGGTATCTCTTACCACCTGTAGCTCCTTGGACCCAGGCCGATCAGAAACTGAGTGGTCCCAAAGTATGGGTTAGGACTGAGTGCTGGGCTCTGGTATCTACTAGGAAGGTGACTGGTTGCCCCCCAACATTGAGAGTTATCCTGGGCTGGGGGGGGGCTCCTGGCCTCGACTGTCCTAATCCTCCAGGGTCAGAAGGGAGGTCGGGGGCCTGGGCTTCTTCGGCCCCCTGGGTCGCTTTGGACAGTCCTTTACCCAGTGTCCCCATTCCTTGCAATAGACACATTGGACATTCTCCACTCGGGGTCCCTTCCAGTCTCCCCCTGTCTTAAGTCCTTTTCTATCCTGACCTGAAACGACGGTGGCCAGCAGTTTGCTAAATTCTTTGTTCCGTTTCCGTTCCCTAGCATTCTCTCTCTCCTCAGCTCCCTTTCTAAATCTCTCCTCTCTCTGTTCTGACTCCTTACACGGCTGTTCCTCTCTTTCCTCAATTGTCTCTCTCTTATTAAAGATGCATTCTGCTTCTTTTAATAAATCCTGTAGGGAGCTTTCCTTGAGGTTATCAAGCCTCTCTAATTTTTTTTCTGATATCAGGAGCTGATTGCCAAATAAAAGTCATAGAGACATTGGTAGCCTGTCCTGGATCCTCTGGATCATAGGGAGTATACATACGATAGGCTTCTTTAAGTCTTTCTAAAAATGCTGACGGAGTTTCCTCCGAGCCCTGTATGACCTGCTTTACCTGGGCCAAATTGGTGGGGTGGTGTGCTGCCCGTGGAGACCCGCTATGAGCAACTGGTGATAGAGGCGCAGGTGGTTCCTACCTTCAACCGTAGTGAAATCCCAACCAGGGCGTTCCAAGGGGAAGGCAGCATCAATTTCATTAGGCAATAGCGTGGGGCGGCCATTTTCACCGGGAACGTCTTTCTGAGCCTCGAGGAAGACCCGCTGTTTCTCTTCAGAGGTCAGCAGGGCCTGCAGCAACTGCTGGCAATCATCCCAGGTGGGTTGATGAGTATCTAGAATGGACTCGATCAAAGAGGTTAGGGTGGTGGGGTCTTTGGAAAAGGAAGGGTTATTATTTTTCCAATTATAGAGGTCAGAGGCCGAAAAGGGCCAATACTGGGGTTGGCCGTTTGGCCATGTCCGGAGTGGGAGAGCGTGAGAAGTGGAATCTGGCGGGGGCTCCCGCCGACCTCTCAGTCGCCCGGCCATCGGCGAAGGGGCAGGCGCTTCCGGGGTCGGGGGTCGCTCGGGAGGCCCCGGACCTGCAGCCGCAGCTTCTCCTTGTTGTTCAGGTCCCGGACCCTGGTATGGGTGAGGTTCATCAGAGAGTAAGTCAATAGTCAATAAGAGGAGAGTCAGGACTGGGCGGTAACACCTCAGTGGGTGCTCTTTTGGACTTCTCCTTGACTGCCTTAGAGCTTCCCAAAGGTTTCCTTGTCACTGTACTCTTTGTGAGGGTGGGATAAAGGGAGGATGTGGTCGGGGTGGTAAGAGGAGGGGGAGGTAAGGAAGGAGTGGTAGGAGTCAGGGAAGGACGTGCGGGGGTTGTGAAAGGCTTAACCCAAGGTGGAGGGTCAGAAGCCAAGGCTTCCCAGGTGACGATGTAGGCAACCTGGTCCGGGTGGCCATGTGGCCCTGGATCCATCACTCTGGCTTTCACCTGTGAAATAGTATCAAGGTTAAATGTTCTGTCTTGCGGCCAGGCAACATTAAAGGTTGGCCACTTGGACTAGCAGAGAGTAATCCATTTCTTCTTTCGGACATCCAATGACTGGTTGTTGGCTGTGTCTTGGATGTCGCCCCAGTGCTGGAGAGTGAGACTTAAGGGGGTTGTTATAGACTGTCCCATCCCTTCAGAGAGGAGGGTGTCAAAGATAATGCCACCAAACAAGAGACAGAGACAAACACAAAACAGATGCGCAGCGCGGCTCCGGCATAAAATCGAAAGCAAAAATACAGACGGAGACTCTGAAGAGGGTCCGGATCCCTCGTCTCCCAGAAGAACCACATGCCCCTCGGAAGAGGGCTGTGCCCCAACGAGTCCCACTCTGGTAGTAGGTTCAGACAGATGAGTCCCAAAAAGTCGGGCCCCAGATACCCCTGGAACGTCTTGCAGGGCTGCAAGAGAGAAGTCCGAGTTCGTCAACTCCTTCTCTATTCAGCCAGAATACTGACTGACTCAGCTGAATCGCACAGAATTCAGATTCGCAGCGCCATAGACGAACAAATGAACAATGAACACGAACGAAGTGCTGGCCAGCTTAACACCCGATGGTGGGTCAGTGGTCCCTGGGTGAGGGTCTCCTATCTCGGACGAGCCCCCAAATGAAAGACCCTCAAGGAGTGTCTTCCCTTGGGAGAGACCCCGTTCCCAAGGATCAGTCGACAGCACTTGTGTGGATGCAATCAGCAAGAGGCTTTATTCAGATACACAGGTACCTGGGGCGACAAGATCTCCTTGAAGACTTGCGCACCGACAGGCTGGGGAAAAGGATTTTTATAGAGACAGGGGAGCAAAAGCACAGGTATAGAAGCGAGATGCATGGTTACAGGGATGCCATTGGTCAATTCAAATGAGGCCAGGGTTATTCTGAGGACAAGTTCCCTTAGTACATAGTAACCAGGTGAATAGCAACCAGATGAATAACAACCAGATGAATAGCAATCAGATGAATGGCTCTATCTAGGGTACACAGGGTGTTTTTCAGGTACTTTCCGTTCCTGGCTGGCACAGATATCCTGTTTGGCAGCCCTGGCTTGCTGACCCTGTCCTGAACCCGGGGCTACGTTGCACAAAGGTTCCTTCATAATGGTGCTGCAGCAGCTAAGCTAAGCTAATACAATATGATTGGCAGGGGTCTTTCAGGGAAAGGAATTATGCTGACGTCCTCTGCCACCTAAGGCAGGTGTTAGTTTACATTTGAAAAAAGGGGGGGGACCTGTAGGGCCCTGCATGGACCCCTGAGGTGCCTTGAGCTAGCCTGAAGCTGTTGGCAGGAACTCCTTGCCCCAAGGCTTTTTTGGTACTCTTACCATTTTTTGATGACACACACCTCCTGACACACACCTCCTGACAATACACACCTATTAGGGAGGAGCCAAACCTAAAATTCCTGTAATTTTTCCACTATGATTTAAGTCAGTATTTAAGACCATTCTTTCCCCTCAATAAACTTCATCTGACATTTGGTATTCCAACATTGCCATTGAATGAATGACACACTGTCTTTTTTTTTTTTTAATTTCAATCTTTAGGCCTTTACCCAATTCATGGAAGCGATGGTAGTGCAGACACTACAAAAAGTAAGTTGGTGTTGAGTACAAAGACTTTTCTACACAAAGACTCCTGATTGAAATGCTTTCCACAAGTGCAGCCCATAGACTGAACTATTCATAGGTCAACATCCAGAACTGGGGTGTTGCTAGGACCACATGTGACCTCACAGAATATGGTGACAGGTTCCCAACAAGCTTGCAGGAGGCCTTGCCAAACTGTCTACTATGACCTCCCTAGTTTCAGGTAGCATCCTCTCATTCACAATGCTGTGGCTTCTGCACTCTTCCATGCTCAGAATTCTTCACAGCAACAATCAGCACAGAAGTCAGTCCAATGGCGCCTGTTCTGCTATAAAACCAAGCCTGTACCATGTCTCTAGGGAGTGTTCTGAAAAGCCTATGACTTGGATGGTGGCACTGATGCCACTGATTGGCTAGTGAAGCATCAGTGACAAGAGCACTTCCTCTAAGGTTAGAGTGTTCTTAAAGTCAAAGCACAGGGGTCACTGACACTGGCTTCTACTGCAGACCTACACTTTTAGAGATCTGCAGAGACATTATTCTATCTATCTATTTATTTATTTGTTTGTTTGTTTATTTATTTATTTATTTATTTTTGCTGTTCTGAGACAGGTTTCCCTGTGAGAAACCTGCTGTCCTTGAACTATCTCTATAAACCAGGCTAGACTATCGCATCCCAATTATTATAATTATTGTGATTACTGTTGTTGTTTTCAGTAGATTTTTCTCTTTAATTGAATTATTTATTTATTTTTGGTTTTTATACACAGTTTTCCACAATGCCCTGGTCCTTAGTCTGTAAACCTGGCTGGCCTTGAAGTCACAGAGATCTGTCTGCCTCTACCTCCTGAGTGCTGGGATCAAAGGCATGGGGCACCACCACCTGGTGCATAAGGATTTTTAATGTCACTTACTTGTCTGCAATGATGACTCAGCTCTTTTCCTGCAGTGCACAGGTTCATTCTCTCCTTTGTCCTCCACATAAAATAAAGAGCTTGCAGAGATGATTATATAATGCACACTGGAATGATTCTCTTACTTAACAGATAGAAATGTGCTCAAGAATATTAAAAACTAAAGAGAGATTTAGAACACCAAAAGAAGATATTTAATCTGTGGCTTCTTGCTTAGGTTAGGAGAAGCCATGGTACATTTTACCTGGTTGTCACAGGCCCTTCAGACAAACATTAGAGAAATGCAGGAACCATAGCACAAACAAGACGATAAATCTTTCTCTTGCCAGAAGACTGGATGATAGGTCCATTGCATTGGGAATTTATTCCTGAAATTCAGCACAAATTCTTGAGAAATTAATAATAATAAAAATTGTTGTCTCCATGGTTAGTTGAATACTTGGAGAGAATGGGGCTGGGAAGAAAGCCTCTATGAGAACTATGGTGAGCCAGCACAGCTTCCTCAGTGGGCAGATGAGAAAACATCTGCATTATTCAGTGTTCTCTACTTGAACAAGACTGGGTTCATATTTCTAGAGAAATGCAGCCTTCACCCAGCCTTCTGATTGGATAAACACGTATTTTCTTCTTTGAGATCTGGTTTTTGTATTTCTACCCTGTGAGTCTGAAGTCCAAGTGAGAACCATGCAACAACTACCTTTAGTTCATGGGATTTCAGTGTGAAACTACAGAATAAATATCTCCTGTTGTGTCCTGGAATCCTCTTAATTTGGGACAGGGAATAATCACGTCAACAACATTGCTTACTGTCCTGTGCAAGCTAGCTAGCCACATTGTATCCAGAAGGAAGAAAAGAGTACAGGAAGATAGCAGGGTTTGCTTTTGGAGTCTGGGACAAGTGCTATATAAATGCATATCTCTGCTGATCTAGAAAATATATTTGTCTGGGGTGGAATACAGTGTCAGGAAACATTGTACTGTGTCATTAAGGACTGTGTAACCTTTGTCACTCAGGCGTCAATATCCCTTCAGGTAACCTGTCATTATGAATATTTATAGGGCATATTTGTGTTTGTATGGCTTTTTTTTTTGAGACAGGGTTTCTCAGTAGCTTTGGAGCTGAAAGGCCCACAGAGCACATATACACTCATGCCCAAACTCAGGCCCCCCGAAATCACTCATGAGAAGTGGTCTTGATGCAAAAGCATGAGGTCTGTTATATTTCAAGAGCATTGGGGTCCGCAGCCATATTCCACGAGGCAGTAGAGGACTGGGGGAACCTTGTGTACACGATTGAGACAGCTTTTATAGGGTTACAACAAAGCCCACACATCCTAAACCAATCATCTCATAGCATCCAGTGCAGACCAATCAATTTGAACTATCCAGGACTGTGCTTAACCCAGGAAGTGGGTGGTGTGACAAGACTCATTTCCTGTGTTCACTCACTCACAGGTGATGTCTTAAACATCCCTGTCATAAACAGTTAAGAATGTGACCTTTTGCCTACTCCTGGGGTCAGTGGAGACTTAGGCTAAATTTTTCCATCCTTACAGAGCCTGCCCTAGAAGTAACTCTGTAGACCATGGTGGCCTCAATCTCACAGAGATACACCTTCCTCTGCCTCTCCAGTCCTGGGATTAAAGGTGTGTGTCTCCAACTGGTACAGGCCCCATCTGGGTGCCAGTTTCACGTTTGTCTCTGAAGAGAAGGTGGTACAATGTTTTGTTTCTGCTGTGATTAAATTACTGCCACAGGGAGTTGACTGGATATATTGGAAGAGCTGCTAACCATGACATGGTGAATGAGGGGCTGCTGTTCCCAGTTGGGGAGGGGCAGATCCTGACATTCCTGACCAATTTGAATCTGAATGGGAAACTGCAGACAGTTTCACTCTCCTGTGATATATCACAAGGTCCTTGCAATTTGCTGTGCCAAGCTGTAGGCCTCTGAATCACTTTGCTCTGTGGGATGAATGTGCTCAGAGCATTGGGAGCAGGGAACTGTGCGTAGAAACATGTCTCTACTCAACATCAATCTGTTTCAGTTGCATCCATGGAAAGGTTGCCAACCTTGGAGAGGCCTCATTTCTCTAGTATCTGCAAGACATTTAGCACTTTGCATTTTGCATTTATTTGTTGACATGCATTACTGTGGCTGTTGTAAAAGGCTTCCCTTTTGTTCAGTGTACTCTACTTACATGCCATGATGTAGATGAATAAAATTGTTTGCATAAATGATTTACTAAATGGTGGAAATAAATAGTAAGTCTCACAAGGTAGATTTTAGCTTACAGACGACTGCCTCTAAGACACTCCAAAGACAATTGTATAATAACCAGTTCTGCTAGAAATCAGGATGTTAGAATACACATTTATTTAAGAGGATTGTCCAGACATTTGGGTCCAAACTGTTACCAATGAGCCACCATTGACTTATAATCTGTTATTATGCCCATTGATCTATGAAAAACAGGCCTCTAACAAGGTGCTCAAGGAGGCATTACACTGTCAAAAGCAACCTTAAAGCCATTTGTGCCATGAAGTTACAGTGTTCTTCTTGAGACAAGCATTGTTATTCCAGGTGGGCAATAGGACACCAGGTGAAAACTATTTGAGAATCAAATCATTGTCATGTTAAGGACTTGCCCTATCATGCAGTTCATCACATGGCTTTCATTTAGGCACTCAGTCATGGAGGAGGAACATTTTGGGAGGCTTCCCTAAGGGCCTAATATATTGACAAAAAAAAAAAAAAAAAAACAGAGCTTTCTCTAAAACCAGGAGTGTGCTTGGTAGA